GTTAGCATTTATGGGGATGCTAATTCGGTGCTAATTTATATATAAAAAAAAACGGGTCGGGTTGTTTCACTATTCAACATTTCTGTTTACATGATCAAATAAGAAACACACTTAATGTTGTTAATTACCTCAAGGTGTAGCTGTCTGTTGGGTCAATAAATTCCTTCCTTGTACATCTTCAGCTCTGAGATGGATCTTCACGTATGCATGATTCTCACCGTTCTGAAAATAATCAAGAGACAAAATCTTCAACATTGAAGATATGATACTCATGGGTACAAAGAATAGTAGACAAAGGTATGTTAGAAAGAGTTCACGACTTACATGTCAGCACGACAAACCGCTAAACCACTACCAAGCTGTAGAATCCGGATTGTAGGTAACTGTTCAGGAAACAAAGCTAAGAGAAAGAAAAAATTTATTAAGAGTAGAAACTTCGATATGCAAATGAAAATATACAAGTTAGTAAAACAATTAAGTAGTGGGTTTGTAAAATTTAGCTTACATTTCGGTGGATATACGATAAGAGCGCTTAATGTATCAGCTTTCACAAAACCTCTAATGATACATATTCCTCTTGCTATTTTCCCCTTACTGCTTATCACCTTTGGGACAAGAACCCGAAGAGTTTCTTTCTGCTGATTCATGACTCCAATCCAATAGTAATACATGGATCCAGAATCAACTTTTGGCTGAATATCTCTTGACCCGAAGCTAGTCTAACCCCTTTGTAACCCCCAGTTTCCTACAGAAAGTTAAATAATCAAGTAAGAATCAATTGTCGAAAGCATACCACTTAAACATATCTTTGGTTACAACAATCAACTCATTTGCCTTGTCTAGATGCAGAGCAGTAATAGGCGTTCATATAACCTGTTCAAACATTGAAAGACCAGATAAGTCACAAGTATAACAGCAACATAGTAGACAATGCAGCAAAGTGTTCTAAACGTACATAGATGCATCTTTTGACATCAGCTCGACGACAAAAGGCTTGTGGAAGTTCTCCTTGTCCATAAATTGGATATATCAARGCCTCCACTGAGTTTGAAAATCTGAGTTAGGGAATAAATGGGTTAAAAACTAAATTACACTTGAGTATAACGAACGAGAATGGAAGAATGTATAAGAGCAAAGAAACACAGAATTACGAATGACCTGCCAATAGATGTAATGTATAGAGCCAATCGATCAATCCCCTCTTTGGTCTTAAGTGAATCTCTACAAGTTTTTGCAATGGCATACAAGATGATCCTACACAGAAGAAGCTTTACCATCAACATTTCAAAGACATTATCTTGAGAAATAAAAGCTGTGAAGAAGTGATTTAAGGCTATATAAATTGATTTTGGGTGGCAACGCATCTTTGTCAAGAAATCCACAAATGGAATCTCCATGTCTTCCTCCTATATCCTCACTGTCGACTCATCGATTTCGGTAGTCGAAACCAAGTATTGTTCAACAAGCTTGAAGAATTTCATCAGCAGAGCCAAACTCTTGTCCTTGAAGATCGCACCTCTCGAAWCCCCGACGAAGCTCTTCACTTTCTCGAAACTTGGGGGCATTAGGGCAGAAACAACTGAAGTTTAACCATTAGAGAGGAAGGGAGAAGTTAAGGAGAACGTGAGATAAGTAGAAGAAGAAACGGAATCTTTGAATCTAACCTGTCAACGAGAGCCGACACATGCCTCTGTTTCTTTTTCCAGCGGCACGTGTTTCGATAGATGCGGTGGCTCCTCCTCCTCCTCTTTGTCGGAGCGATTCTTGATGGAAGACATCGGCTATGACACCACACGGTGGCTGAGATGTCGAGATCGACACTAGAAATCGAAAAGGGTCGAGAGGGTTTCCGTCGGTGAAACCAAAGGAGAATTTTTTTGGTCAAAGATGCAGATCGAAGAGGAGAGAAGAGAGAGCTGAAGAGATAAGAGGAGATCGAAGAGGAGAAGGATACAAAGAGAAGAAGATAAGGAGACGAAGAAGAGATAAGAGGAGAG